AAAAGGAGCATCTCTGTGAGCCCTGAAGTTGCTACAAACTTCAAACAACTGTGACTTTGTTTGACTCTCGTGTTTCTCACCGCCTGCAATACTTCATCTTCACTTTCTCAAGTGATAATTGTGCCTAATCACCACCAGTACCCTCAAACTACAGTCAACAGTGTCCACTGCAGCAAATCAGACCGAAAAGTTGTCCATTCATTGCCCTAAAGACGAAAACGAAGCTTTCCGCACTTTCACTTACACTTTTTATTTCCACTTTTGTCTCATCAAAAACGCATTTTGACCTCTAATCATTTCGTACCTACCTGCGTCTGAAACAAACAGTCAGTCAGAATCAATTACCACCAAACCTCAACAGCACAATAATCTCAAGTGCTTTGTGCGTTATTTAAATCTCCCTCTCTTTTTCTCGTCTGTGGTCGCCAAGGAAGCGAGGCATCATTTATCAATACAGCACCGCTATCACCACCACCACCAAACCTCTACAGTAAGTTTGCTAAAAAGAAACCTCTTTTTGCTATCTAAAACTGGGCCATTGAAAGAAGTGTACAGCTTTCTCAAACACCCTGTGTATTTTTTTGGGTTGGTACACTTTAAACTTTTTTGAACCAGTCGCACGGCGCGTTCATTTGTATCCCTTTTATTTTAGCCCTTTTAGCTTTTCATCTTATTTGCTCATTAACAGTTTTTGGTTGTTTTTTTCAGACACTTCTTTTCATCGAATGATCAGCAGCAGCAGCTAAACAATGGCAGTGGAAACGATACGGCTAAAGATTCCCGGCCTCTCTTGTGGCTCCTGCGAGCGCAAGATCCGCGCCCTGCTCACCGAACGCTTTGCCAGTCTGATTGCCACCGTTGAATATGCTGAAGGTTCAAGCACATCTGATGTGACCTTTGACCTCGCCGAGAAGACGGTCACAATTCGGCTGGCCGTGGAACGCTTCGACTACAGCCAAATGGTGGAGGCGATTGAGGCGCTCGATCCGGTCAAGTACCGCTGCGAGGTGCTGCAGGCGCCAGGAGGAATTGAAAGAGATGTTCCAGCGGTAAAGAAGACCTCTTCAAAAAAGTCCAACTCTAGCCGCAACCCGAGCAGATCCGCTTCGATTACCTCAACAATTTCCTCCAAATCATCATCATCATCAAAGCTGAAAAAGCCTTCCTCAAAGACAAACTCTCCCAAAGCTGAAACGAAACGCAAGGCGGTGATGACCGTGGGCGGCATGACCTGCTCCTCCTGCGTGGCCACCATCGAGAATCGCCTGAACGCCGTGGAGGGCATCTACGAGGCGGTGGTGGCGCTGATGGCCTGCCGCGCCGAGGTCACCTACGACCCGACCGTTGCGGGAATGACCGCCGAAGCGATTGCCGAGATGATCGAAGACATGGGCTTCACCACTTCGGCCCTGCAGACGATCAGCTTTGGCAGTGGTGATAATCCTGAAGACGCCAAAACGGCGGAGATTCAACTGGCGGTGATGGGCGTCACCGGGGAGAGTGGCTGGGCGGCCATCGAGGCGGCTGTGTCCGCGCTGGAGGGCGTCACCTCCGTTCAGGTGGCGCCCGAGCCACAGAGCCGATTGACTGTCAGCTATCAGGTGGGCGTCATTGGGCCGCGGAAGGTGGTGGACACGATTGGCGAGTTGGAGGGCGGCTACTCGGCCTATCCCTCAAATGCCGACCTGGTGAAGAACGCCGCCGATCCGATGCTGGCGGAGATTGCCAAGTGGCGAGGGTCGTTCTTCTTTTCGCTCCTATTTGGAATTCCCACCGTGATTGCCATGGCCTACTTTGGCCACTTTACGCCGACCAGTTCGATGGCGGAGATGGGCGGAGGGAAGAACTGCTGCATAGTTCCGGGGGTCAATTGGGAAAATCTGATTCTCTTTCTCCTGGCGACGCCGGTGCAGTTCTGGGGCGGGCGGTACTTTTATGTTCAGGTAAGGTTTCAGTGAAGGCTTTTGAAGGTTTTTGATGTAAGCTAAAGGTTTAACTCCACTTTTCTCTAGGCGTACAAAGCCCTGAAGCACCGCTACGCAAACATGGACGTGCTCATCATGCTGGCCACCAGCATCGCCTACCTCTACTCGGTGGTGGTGGTGCTGTACTTCTGGGCCACCGGGGCCGCCCAGTCGCCGATGACCTTCTTTGACACGCCGCCGATGCTGCTCGTTTTTATCTCACTAGGCCGGTGGCTGGAGCACAAGGCACGGCACAAGACCTCGGAGGACCTGGCCAGTCTGCTGTCG